TAATGTTTGTTTGTTCGTATTTTATGCACTGTCATACCGTTCATCCGATTGCGGTAGAACTTTGTCAACTTTTTGCTTGCAGTTGCGCGAATGTTATAATCAAAGTACAATTAACTTACACTAGGTGGCGCGCATATCGTACCCAATTAAACAATATAACTCTTTCAAATTTAAAACCACATTTTCACAATTATTTCTACTGCGGCAGTAACGTGCCGGGTACCAGCTAGTCAAGTATAAACTATGCTATATACATAGAGTACATGATACACAAGTGACTGCTGCACGAATGGGTAGAAAATAGGGTTAGCTCGACCGGGATAAAACTTGCTCGCACAGAATACCAGCGTGAAACCATTTTAATCGTCAAGGATGAGACCGCTTCTTTTTTTTAGATAACTGAAGTGACTCACGAACGTACAGTCCACCTGATGGTAAGTAGCTACTGCAGTCCATGAACACATGCAATCAACTTCAAACAAATAAGGCTATATATGCGACCACAGAGCTCTCTATACCCTTCAGATAGGAACACAGTTTAGATACTTCATTACCTGATAGTTCAGGCACTACTATTTTGCGACAAAAACAGGTAAGAGGACAGCATTTACCCAGACCCAGTTACCCAGGCAGAAAAGACTAATAGGGAAAAAAATGTAGGCGTTTCTGGACCAAGGCATTCACCATCACCTGAACTGGGTGCTCGATTATCACTCTTACATATAAAACTTTTATTTAATGCCATGTTTATTAAATTGATGATAATATTCATGTTATTAACTGCAATAATTAAAAATTAGAAATTTTGTACAACCGACTTCAATATATATTAATAAGGATAACTCAAAACCTATTGGTCAGACCTTCATCAATATGGGGATATGTGAAGCACCAGCTTTCAAATAAAAAAAGAATCATCGAAATCGGTTCACGTAGAAAAAAGTTATGAGGTAACACACATAAAAAAGAACATACAGTCGAATTAAGTACCTCCTACTTTTTGTGGGTAGAAAACAAAATACATACGTACAACGTACTCATAGTACGTAACCGAGTATCAGAATCGGCCAAGATCGTTGCTTTTTTGTTTTTAATTCACGGTTACATAATAATTTGTTGGCAATCTATTGTTAAAAACTAAAACATTTATTAAATGGATAAAAACTTGTAACATTAGTACCTGTGTTTCCTGATTCATTTTAATTCAACTTGAGTTTGAATGAATTTTCTAACTATTATATTTTGATTAAAGTAAATGTCGACACTTTTGTCACATTAGAGTGAAATAGTGAGCAACTCGGTATCGCGGACATTAACACTGTCTTGAATATCAAGTGTCAAGTGTCAAATAAAGTCGTGTATCCTCGTTAATAATATGACAGTTTAAAAAATTTAAACAACACGCATTGATTATGAGCTGTGATTAGGTTTATTAGGTTATGGAGAAAGACAGTAATGAAATTATTGTACTGTCATCAATAAAACGTAGTGATTATATACTCTCTGGTCATCGATTGTTATTAAGTGAGAATATGTCAAAAAGGCACTAATGACAATTCACAGTGCTGGGATAGCCCCTTACTTCAATGTATGGTAGTGAAAGTCGGGTGTGGCAGAAGAAGTACGAGAGTAAAATTAATGGAATGCGGTCATTGATATATTGTGTGATAAGAAAAACGAGTGATTTGCAAAATGTGGCCAGGGTTAAGAAAGTATTACTTTGTGGCTTGGACACGAAGAAAGAATGAATGAAGAAAGAGTTGCAAAGCAAATTTATGCAAACGAATTGAGTGGCACAGTCAATAAGAGACGCCCTAGACGGAAGTGCATCGATCAAATGGGCGATATAAGAAAGTTGATCCCCGTTAAGCGTACTCTGAACCGGTTATCATGTATGCGTATATATATACATAGATGTGAAAGAAAAGAGGTGTAACAGGATCGTGCTAAATGGAAGTCCGTAGTCTCTGCCTATACCTCTGGGTAATAAGCTTGACAGCAGACGTATCTGCATAAGACATATTCGAAATTTAAAACGTTCAGAAGTGGTTGAAAACTGAATTATAAAATTCATTTGCATTTATAAATACACACATATATACATAAATACACACATATATATGTGAAATTAATAAAAGCCTGTTGAAAAGATAAACACCCAAACGACTACTTCCGAATTCAATGTTTAGTGCGACAACTTTCGAGTCGATAATATGTGCTTTGAGGTCGTTGGCTTACTTTTTTTTTGGAGTATGTGTAACGTAACAACTTTTAACTGATCTTTGAAGGTTAATAAACCGTTATAATCAAATTAAAGCTATTTAGCTGGACTGCGCGGTACAAAATAATATTTATTGCATTAAAAAAAAACTAATATTTTCATACAACATACAGTCCTATTCCTGCGGTATAATGCCAAGAATGCTGGCTGCTTATCCTCGCAACCGCAACTAGTTAACTATTCTTAGCCTATGGAAGAAAAAAGAACAAGCCCTCCTGTCTTCAGCGAAAACGACCAGTCGTGTATACACTTTAGAAACTTTACTGCGCGTTGACCCCACGGACTGATAGACTCTACAGGTAATGGCAAAAATATAAAGTCATCTCTCAGAAACTCATTTTTGCGTCATTCAATAATGAATATTATTAGGTTACCCTCTTCGTGTGGTAGAATCTTTCACCTCATTTTGACATACTGAAAAAAAAATCTTAAGGCTTCCGCTATAAACATCACGTTTACGGGCAGAAGTGTCAAGGGTGTGATCATCAATCCACCTGTTAGGCGTTACATTTTAAACAAATCCACCCCAGAGCTCCATCTCTAGCAGTGGACTTTTACGTTGCCATAAAGAAAAATAAATTAATGCGATATATTCTTTTCAAAGAGCGGAACTGATAGTAGTGAACAGCATTAAAAATTCAGGGTATCTGCCCTGTGCTCACTAACCTGTATGAAAATCTAGGTAGTTAAGTTTTCTTTCAGTTAAAGTAGATTTTTTATATAGAACAATGACGACAAAAGAGAAAACAGTCCACCTGATGAAAAGAGAATGCTGTGGCCCACAGACATCTACATAATATATTCTCAATTAAGAATCGAAATGCATATGCGTTGTCACCCCTGAGGTCTAAAAAGGGATGCCTAGCTTCCAGTAAAAAAGGGTGGTTTGGCTTGGCTTGGCGTGGCTCTACCTAATGTAGAGCCACACTGCAGCTTAGATGTATCAAGCTGAGAATCTGTGACAGGCAAAGTTTTTTGATACCTAAATTTACAACGAGTAAGGGCTAACAGTTTATTTAATGGTGATTACTGTAGCCATTGGACCTGCTCTGAAGACAGGTGAAAACCTTCATCGCTGAGATTACACTGGCTATTTTATCCTTAAAACCGAAAGTAGCAGTGTGCATTGCTGCTTGTTGGCAAAAGACGAATTATGATTACTAGAGAAATCTAGTGGTGGAAATTCAAGCGTAATTCATTAAATTTCTGGGTTTGTATATTAATATTATAATACACATTATATAAAGAACACGGAAATCTAATATACAAAATATAAAATAAACGCTTTTTTGCTTTGACAATCACTTCACACGCTATTGAAAAAATAAAATTTTAAATCACACAAAATTCACAGCTTCTTCAGTCAGTACATATTTGTTGGCAACATTTTAAGATTCTTTAGTGACTATGTCTACACTGTGCTACTGTTTGACTACAGACTAATTAGTGTACGACATTGGCCTTAGAGTAATAATGCTTATGCTTACTTATATGCTTCTACATACTTACTCTGAAACATGAACGCCCAATAAACAACATAATTTGTCCAATCGATAAATAGATATTTGACAATGGCAATATGAACCTAAACATTATAAGTTTTATTTTACTTTATCTTATGTATTTGTAACACATATTATATATGCATTTTAGCTTTCTGCGCTCCTTATCCATATAAAATTTTAACTACGTCAAATCTCGCATTCGTCCTTGCGCGCAATATTCTTAATAACTTAAATAAAAAAATTTGAAACCCTCGAAATATAAAGAGCTGATGATCTTCAAACAGCTGAAAAGATTTTCTTTTTTTTTTATAGGATAGGGTGGCAAACGAGCACACTGTCCACCTAATGGTAAATGGTTGCTGTGGCCCATAGACATCTATGGGCCACAGCATCCTCGTTTGCGAATCAAAATGCAGATGCGTTGTCACCCGTGAGGACTAAAATGGAATGCCTCTTTTCCAGTAAAAAGGGTATCCGGTTCTCTACACTCACTATACGAAACACAGCAGTGTTAAGCTGCTATTTTACGCTGGTATTCTGTGAGAGCGTGGTCCTTCCCCGGTCGAGCCGACCCAACAAAAAGTGCTACAACTATACCTTTAATGTAGCTGCAGCATGGAAGGGGTGTACTACTATGTAAAAATTCATAGCTAAGAACACTCGATCAAGTCACCTTTCAACCAAAAAAAAAAACTAAACCTAAATCGGTTCATTCGTTTGGGAGCTATGAATTCCACAGACAGACACACTGATGCACTTTTTCGTCGGTGTTAAAAAACGGTACAAAGATTCTCTTCACGTATTAATACTTAATATATAGATAAAGGTCCACTCGAGCTTCTCTTTTACCTTTCTTCCAGACTTGCCTTGGGTTTATGTCAATCGGTCATGACCGATAATACTCAAATGTGGAAAATGTGCTACTAAATTTTATATGTACAGTTATATTATTTTAGGTTCTAGACCGTAATTAATTTTTAAAACTATTAGGCACAACCTTGAAAAGGAACTTGCCTTGTTTCAGGGCGCCGGCTAGAAAGCAACATGCATTTACCTAACTTATAACGAACGCGCAGGTCTTGCACGCGGATCATAACAACACGCAACCTCGAGTCGCGCGGACGGACTTAGACATTTTTGCGTGGGAATCGATCCCAGTTGTCAAGATATGTGATTTCAAATTTAGAATTTGATTTTTTTTTATATGTGGCAAAATGCATTTTGTGATCATCCTAACAGTTTGTGCGTGGAATGTTGTGTGTGGACAGGACATTAATGCTATGGCAAACTTACCAAAATACGAGTCTAGGTATGACTATTTAGATGTAGATGCATTGTTTAATAGCAAAAGATTAGTGAGAAATTATGTGGACTGTCTAATCAATTCACATCGCTGTACGCCGGAAGGAAAAGCTTTGAAACGTGAGTTACTTAATTTAATGATAAAATTCAAGGTATTCTCCCGATATACCAATGCAAGTTTTACGTTGTGGTAGTCAAGCATTTTTAACCGATTTCAAAAAAAAGGCGGAGGTACTTAATTCGACTGTATTTCTTTATGTGTTACCTCAGAACTTTTTTCTAGGTGAGCCGATTTTAATGATTCTTTTTCATTTGAAAGCTGGTGCTTCTCATGTGGTCCCATATAAATTTGATCAAGATCTGACTAGTAGTTTTTCAGTTTACTATAATATATCATATTTAATTGACTTCGACTAAATTGATAATGTTCTCATTTTATTTATATTGATGTCGGTTGTACAAAATTCTTAATTTTTCCACTTGTTTGATAAATAACTGTACTTATTGGAATAATTATAAATATTTTATATTATCTGATTCTGCAATTAAGCTTTTCAACTTGACCTTTCTCAACGCCCACAGAATAAACAACAAATCGTTATGTGAACAAGTTCTTATCAAATTCTTACAATTGTTTGATAAATTAATTTGTAGATCGTTGTCTTTTCCATTGCTGTACATTTAGAACTTAATTACTTGATACAAAGATAATGGGATACTTGGAAATAGGGTTGTTACGGCCTACGGTTGCTCCCTTAAAGGATCCAATCCCCCGGGGCCCATCAGCAGAAGACTTCCCGAGCAAACGTAGGTCGGGCCTCCTAAGGCCACGTGGAAGTTCTCTAATTACACTAAATATATGGGGGAGCGTTATACTACGGCCAGTCGACCGGAAGGAATTTGGCGGAGTTCACTTACCTCTATCCAAGGCGACTGGTTCCTCCGGAGTCGGTCAGGTCGCATGTGGTTGTGTAGTGCAAGGGAAAGAATGGTGATGTGGTGTGTATCTGGGTGTGACTGATGGTGATTGAACCTAGACCTTAGCCGTCGGCAGCAGCCCGAGCGTCGATACCGCTCCAACTTGAGGGGGCCTTTCGAGGTTATCCACAGTCACTTTCTTGGTTCACCACGATGCCAGTCACTTAACTCTATCGTACGATTAACTAGCTTACAGAAGCCACTAACTATCGCGGGGTATAAGGTTACCGCACAAAACACGCCCGGAGTTTCTAGGTCAAAGGTCACTACCGTTTCGCGTGGCAACAGTTCTAAATACCGAGGCCGCACTAGCTTATATTGTCGAATGCACTTATACAGATTCTGAGTCGGACCCAATAAGTCCCGGGAAAGGCTATCCAAACAGGGAATGCGCGTTATAATTCCTAGACAGGATATTTACTAGACGCCCTAACTATTCCGCGGTTCCCGCACAAAATTAACAGCGTGCAAACATTAGCACATCTGGCAGATGACTGACTCGCTTGCGACCCGCGCGCCACTGTGACGCTCGGAAGAACTTCAGACCGGAATCGCGCCGAGCCGAGTGACATCTGGTGTCGATTCCGACAACAGAGTTTTGCGCGAACAAACCCCCGTCCCGGACATAAGGATTTAGGTCCGCGAGCAACCGGTCAGCGGGACAAGGTCGAGACTGCAAGTTGCAAGACCGAATCTACAACCAAACTAGGCCACCTTAGGCAATCTATTAGGTCTTGCAACCCTAATCAACGCCTCAAAGATATCCCTAATGTGGCAAGCCGGAGGGTCAGCCTCCACTGGATGCCCCTCCTGGGCATCGCAGCACTTTAATAAGTCCTGTACTGGACAGAAGTCCGACGACCTCTTTCAAACACCATCTGTGCCCCTATGATTAGTTCCGCAATCCGACCGGATCAGCTCTGCAAACAGTGACGCGACACGAAGCGGCCTCGAGCGGCCTCCTAAGCTTCAGTGCAGAGAGCACCCACAAATTCCACATGAACGTCGTCTGTGGAGAGCCGAACGAAACGCACAGATAGTCCCTAGTATGAATTTTCAACAAGTAGGCCTAGCCAGGCCACCCACCATATTATCATTTACTAAAATAGTGCGGCAGCTGATTTCAATCTGATAATCTCCAAAACTAGCTAGCCTGTTAGACAAGTAGTCCTATGCTCATATTTCAACAAATTTTTCAAAAGCATCAATGTTCAACTACAGAATTAATTCAACCAAATTAATCACCGATGCGCATAGGTCAACTTGCAAATTAAACAAAACAATAACGTAAGGGACAGCCCTACTTCTTAGAAAACAAAAATGATTAAACACTATCCTAAACATAAACATAATTTTTCAAATAGTGCGCCATTCCATTTCAGATGAATTCAAATTTTCCTTTCAGCAAACAAACGCAACAATCAAATACAGTGATTAAATATATGTACAAAACACATGCAGTAGCATTTAAAGGAGTAGATTAAATTCAATTCTTTTAATTTAAACCGCTACAAATAGGAGAATTTCGCGGAAAGCCCAAAGCAATTTTTAATTTTAATTCAAGTATTTTTTTTGACTAAGTGCTCGACCAAACCAAATCTAATACCCCTTGACAGCGTGATTCAACGCTACAGGGGGACCCTAATCTTCCCACCACCAAGGGGAGGCCACATGGCGTGAACCCGAGATAAATAGAGCACAACCTTTAACAGTTGCCACTCGGGTTGTACGCCTTCACTGAGGCCGTCGGCAACAGAACATTTTGACAAGTGGACCGTTGACGGCTTAAGGCTCAGTGGAGGCGGCCGTGGTGGGAACTAAGGCAGCAGCTAGACAGGGCCGCCTCCATCAAATGGGGAACAGTGGTACACCAGTCGCGGCCACTCAGCTAACGGAAGTGAGAAGGGTCCAGCGGACCGATGAGTGGCCGTGAAGTTCCTCTCCACACGCTGAGGGGGGGTGATGACACCCCCGCCCCTGGGGGAATTACCCCCCGACTGGTCGGGGGAGGGACTCCTTTCAAACTTAGGGGCCTGGTGGCTGGACGGCGGGCGCCGACAGTCACCCTGCAGAGGGCGTGGCTGAGCGCCCCCGCCCGTGGGGGTCGAGGGCCTGGCAGAGCCCCGAGAGGAGATGCCGTTCGCACCCAGGCACAAAACGGCATGGTGATTGCCCTGGCAATGCAGACAGGGCCGTCGATGCGGACAGTCTCGCTGGAGGTGCCCTCCCAGACATGACCAGCACCAGCGGCGCTCCTTGGCGATAGTTCGCCTCGCTGGAACCGGCTTACCTAATAATTTCGGGCACGACGTTACCCGGTGATCAGATGCTCGACAATAGGAGCAGGGGGGGGTTGACGACGACTTGCCTGGCGGGTTCAGCCTCTCACTGGGCACGTCTCGCAAGTCGTCAACGGTGCCCGCCGCGTTCTCGATCTGCCGGCACTGCTCCTCCAAAAACCGCAGCAGGTCATAGAAGGGCGGAATATAGGAGGCCTCGTCCCCGCCGTACCTCTCCTCAAAATGGATTCGCAGGTCGAGAGGTAGACGGGACAGCACGATGCGGAGCAACAAAAAAGCCCATTCGCCCACTGGTAAACCCAGCCGCCTCAAAGTATTACAGGCCACCAAGACTGGATCCAACAGGTCCGGACGCAGTCTGGCCCGGTCACTAAGCAGCGGGAGGCTTAGAAGCTGCTTAACATGCTCGTCTGCAATTCGCCGGACGTTGGCGTATCTTCTGGCTAGGAGGTCCCGAGCAGTCTGGTAGGCGTCGTCCGACAATTTCAAGTGGCCGACGACGCCCAGGGCCTCCCCCTCCAGTGAGGCCAGGAGGTACGCCATCTTTTGGCTCGGGGTCAAGTCACTCCGGGCGTCCACTAGGCTGTCGAAAAGACCAACGAAGGTCAGCCATTCGGAAAGGACCCCGGAGAACTTTGGCAGGTCCAGAGTTGGGAGTCGTCCCAACAGCTCCGGCTGAAGCTGCTTCAGAGAGGACTCGGACAGGTTACTCATCCGAGCTTCACGCGCCTCCTCGGCATACCTGCCTTCAGCCTCGATCAACTCGTCCGTGAGCCACAAGAACTGCTCATAGTCCGCGAAGCAGGAGTCCAGGACTCCCTTCTCCACATCCGAATCCTCGAGCTCAGCGTAAGCCTCCTCCACTGCGGCCCTTCGAGCATCCACCTGCTCGAACCGCTTCATCAAGTTATGGACCCTATCCGGTCGACCTATCAAAGCATGGGCGCTTGTGGCCCAGCGTAGCTCAGTCCGCAAACAACGGATCAGTAGCTTGGGCGATGTCATCACTATTAAAGACAAATTACGACGCGGCTTGAGCACAGTTTACAAAGATAACAAATAAAAAATACAACAAAAAATTAACAGTTAATAAATGCAGTTCCTATCAAATCGCGTTGAATAGAAATTACACAAATACGAACTACTTGCTACGTATCAACCAAATACAAATTAGCACAAAAAAGACACAAATCAAATTAACAAATAACAAATACTAGTGCGATCGAATCAAGTTAAATTCAAATTGCGCAAATACAAATTACTACTATTTAGTTCAAATACAACTTACAGTATAAACGAAGATACACATCACGGTCGATCAACAAAAAATGCCTAGCTCGGAAATCGAACCTTCGATAAGTAATCCACTACAACTCTCCGACAACGATAATTAACCGATTACGTAAAAATAACCATCTACCTACATGACGTATATCTCTAGAAAATCTCCCGCTTGCACAACCTAGGGCGCGGCTTTTCAAATTACCCTCTAACCAAAAAAAAGGCAAGCAACAAAGCAACAAAGGAAAATAATTCTATTATTACGTACAAAAAAAATATTTTTACGTATTACGGACGGGCGTGATTGTAGATGCAAATTAAACCAATCACACCAACGCTCCCTGCCACCAAAATTGGTTAATGTTTATCAAACACTATAGTCGGGATCGACCGGGAATCGAACCCGGAACCGCGCTCTGCTACCAATTGTTACGGCCTACGGTTGCTCCCTTAAAGGATCCAATCCCCCGGGGCCCATCAGCAGAAGACTTCCCGAGCAAACGTAGGTCGGGCCTCCTAAGGCCACGTGGAAGTTCTCTAATTACACTAAATATATGGGGG